GTCCCATCATTTACTCAAAGAAAGGTCTTCCAAGTAGTATGCTGTGCTGCCATCTGCCTTGTCTCTCTCCCCAGAGTGAAGATGGTGGTGGTTAGCACCATGATAAGCCCTGCTTTTCCAGGAAAGTGAGGGCAAGGTAGCACACATCTAAGGGGGTTTTAATTCACATTTTAAATTCCAGAAGTTGCTTCGCATTAAAGGTTAAGCATCACATTATCTTTTTTCTTAATATAAAAAAATCACTTCTGTTTCTTCTTCACAAACTAAAAACAAGGCCTCGAAAGAAATCATAAAAGAAAAAAGTTACAGTGTGCATTATTGCAACTGGACAGTTAAATTAACTGTTGAATTCATGAACCAGAAGTGCTTAAACTATAACTGGAACCTACAGAAAATATAACTTCCATAAATATAGGTTTCTTCTCTGCTCATCAATGACTCACTGCTTTCAATGACCTCAAGATTCAAAGTAGGCACCCTTTTAACCAAAAACCACAAAACCTACTCTGCATATACAGAAGCCAGCAGATCCCCTGGGTTTTGTGTGCCACACTGTGCCAAAGCTCACATACAGGTAACTGCAGACATGCATTCAACACCTGAGTGCCAGGGCTGCCTCAGGAGCCAATGTGGGGCAGTCCTCCCTTGGTCAGCTGACTCTTACAGCCGAGCTGCATCAGACACAGGCTTTGGTGCCAGGAGCAGAGGTCTGAGGGGCTTTCTCTGAAATTCTCCTGTCTACCTAAAGACCAGATCCACCACAGAAAGAACACCGTTGTCTTCCCTCCCTCCCTCATACTCCACTGGCCAAGGAAGAGTAAACTCATATCATGGAAAAGACTCCACTCCAACCCAAACAAATTTTGTCCCAGGCTACTGTCAAGCCCATTCATTGTTCCTGAAATTATTTACTCTTCCAATAAAACCACCCATTTCACCTTCATGCCCTCCCTATGAATAGGATCTTTAAGCTTCTACCGTCTAGCTTTCTATGAGTTTCATCCTGTACGAGACACCTGTGTGCCCGTATGTTAATAAAACCGTATGCCTTCTCTCCTGCTAATCTGCCTGTTGTCAGTTTATTTTATAGATTCAAATGATTAAACCTTCAGTGCTAAAAAAGAAGGTTCTTACAGTGCTTGGAACAGAACACATCAAGCGCTCCAAAATGCCATTTGTTCATTAATTCAATAAGTAGCTACTGAACACCAGTATGCCAGGCATGGTTATAGTCACTGCAAATAAAGGAATGAAAAAAATGGACCCAAATTCCTCTCCGGATGGAATTTATAACCTAGGAAAAAAGGCTAACACTTACAGTGGTTGGTATTATCACAGCTAATACACCAATAGGGCTCAATGCCGCCAGAGGACATTTAGCAATTTTGAAGATATTGCCATCTAGTAGAGAGTGTTCAGGGACGTTAATGTGAGTGACATCCTACCATGCACATGCCAGTTCTCAAAAAAAAGGAAAAAATTGGTCCAAAATGTCAACAGGGTAGAGGTTGATTAACTATGTTCTGAAGGATACTGAATCAATGAAACAACCCTCAGTGGTAACAGTAACTGTATTTTATGGAACACAGTAGTAATACTGTGCACATATACATATTTATAGTAATATTTATAAATGTAAATATATATTAGACAATATTTATAAAGTAATATCAATTCTATATAGATCCTTTAAAATATGCCTTGCTAGCATGAGTATGTGCTGCTTAAAAAGAAATCAGGTGTTGGATTTCACAAAATAGACTGAGTCACTTTACAATCAATGGCACTACCCTCGTACCACATCTAGGTTTTCAATTATTACTAATCTTTCCTGACCCTCACACACCTGCTACAAATGCTGATCTTTCGTGTCACATCCGTGATGAGTCGGACATCTGAAACAGGGAGCGGAATGGTATACAAGAGAGAGCAGACTAGGAGCCTGAGCTATGACTGGCTTCATGACCCCCTGCCTGTGCCATCTCTGGACAAGTCATTTAACTCCTCTGTGCACCACAGGCTCACTGTCATCGAAGCAGGGGGCAAGAATAAATTTCCTGGAGGTTCAGAGGATTGTTCAGTAAGGTAAGCATGAACATTCTTGGGAAGCTGCAAGGAGGATGTACCTCAGGCTGCACTCGCAGCATTCGAAAGGTATCGTGTTCACTGTCCTCATGCCTGCTACGGTTTGGTAAGTGTCTCCCAAAGACCCGGCTGGTACAGGAGGCTTGGTCCTCAGCCCACGGCACTACTGGGAGATGGAGTAACCCTTAAGAAGGAGGGCCTAGTGGGACGAATTCCGCTCACAGACTGTATGCTCTTGAAGGGAATACTGGCTCGCCAGCTCTCTCCTCTTTCTCTCTTTTGAATCTTGGTCAGGAGCCAAACAGTCTTGCCACACAGTGCTGCCACGATGTGCTGTCTCACCACGGGTCCAAGAGCAATGGGGCTAATCTAGCAAGGACTGAAACCTCCAAAACGGTGAGCAAAAATAAATCTCTCCTCTTTCTGTAAAGCTGAGTATCTCGGGTATTCATTACAGTAATGGAAAGTTGACTAGTGCAACCACCACCAACCAGTATGCATCGAGGGGTCCCTTTCTTTTCACCGTATATTTATTCATTTCATTTAATCCTGAGATAGACATGCTGATCCATTCAAGTGGAAGGCCACAGTGGGGCACAGGCACTGGGTAACTGCATGAGATGTCAGTCAGTGAGCGGCAGAACAAGGACGCCTACCCACATAGCCCTGTCCCAGAGTGCGCTCTCGCGGTTAGCAGGCGTCTCTGAGCTGCTGCGGAAGGCACATGGGATATGCTCTCATACCACCACTCTTTCCTGGCCGTGATTTCCCTCTTCTTGATGAAGAAGATCAATCGCTGTTCTCCAAGCAGCCATGTTTACTCCTTGCTCCTGACTCATCAGTCAGTTGATTTACTCACCAAAGCAAAGACAAATGAATTTTCATTTTTAAAATTACTTTATTTCTTTTAAATAGGCAATATGAGTGCATAATACATACTTCAAAGGTCAAAGGACAGAAGGGCCTATGGTGACCTTCAAAGCTCCTTCCCTTGCCTTCCAGCTACCCAGCTCCTTCTACTGAGAAAGCGCCATTCCCAGTTTCTTGCATGTCACTCCAAAATGTTCTATACAATGTGTGTTCTTTTTACAGAATAGATATACAACTTATAACAAATAAATGTTACTTTGCAACCTGATATCTCTTGCTAAACAACAGTTTGGAGAGAAGTCCACGTTAGTGTACAGAGACATCCTTTATTTATGTTGAAGTATTCTGTGATAAATCATTTCTGAACAGACGAATGGTCAAGGTGTTTCTGATGTAATGATATTACATGGAGTATTTAACACACATATCATTCTTATGTTGTGAGATATACTTGGATAGATTTCTAAAAGTGGAACTGTTGAGTCAAAGTGTATTTTTTTAAACATTTTATTGAACTAGTTAAATTGTTCTCCTTAGTTTATATGCCCACCTAGAATGCATGAGATTGCAACTTACTTCTGTATTTTCATCAAATAAGGCCATAAAAATATTTTACTTTTGGCAATTGGTAAAATCTCATTATCCCATGTATATCTCATTATATTTTAAATTTCTTTTAGTATAATTAGTTTAGGATTTTTTCATGTGTTTCAAGAACAAGTTATATTTCTTTTATCTCTGAATGTTGTTTTTATAATCTTTATTCATTTTTCTAGTAGATTGGTTTCTTTTTTTTATAGAGTTGTAGGAGTCCTTTATAAGAGAAATTAACCTTTGTCTATAAGTTGCAAGTATGACTCTTTAGTTTCTTACTATATAACCAACAATATCTGATTTGTAAATAGCAGATTATTTTCTCAACTGTTTGCTTTTATTCCTTCGGGTTTTAGTTTACACTTGGGAAGGTCTTCTCAAGAGTTATTTTAAAAAATTATGTTTTCTTTTAGTATTTCTGTGGTTGTTTTCCAAGTTCAAATCTCTGAAGGCCACAATTTATTTTGGTGTACAGTAAGAGTTAGATTCAACTTTCTTGTTCCAGATGGTTATGCAGTTGTCCCAATACATGTTACTAAATACTACACTGACCTAAAATGCCAGCTTTATTATATAAAAATTCCCATATTTTGTGGACCTACTTATTGCATTCCTGTTGATATGTCTGATAATCAAAAATATGCTGCAGACTATTTCAAGTATGGTAACTATATAGTATGTTTTATGGCTGATAGGGATAGTTCCCTGGAGTATTTGTCTTTTCCAGAATTTTTCTAGTTGTTCTATAGAAACTTAGAATAATTAATTGGCATTTTTCTTAGGACTAGGTTATATTTGTAAATTAACTTAGGGTAAACTCATGCTTTTAGGGTGTGAATGCTTCCCATGCACAAACACTGTAGTGCACTTCTGCACTCGGTTCTAGTCTTTTACCCTCTTACCCACTTTTGGGGAGCCTCTGTAACATCTTAAAGTCCCTTTCACAAAGGTTACCCTTGGAGTTAAGAACATATTCCTATCTGTTTAACATTATCATGTCTAGATCTTTTTTTCTTGGTAGATATGGCAATAAAAACTGTTAGCTATGGTTTTATGTAAAAAGTCGTTCATTTTTATTTCGGTTTTGGTTGAATGCCCAGTTCTTGAAACTTTGCAAACTCAGGATTGAAAAATTCACAAGAACTATAGCATATAACACATCTTCTTTCAATTCTGACTAAGAAATACTTTCCTCCTGAAATATTTTGGCATGAAAATAGGACTTATTAGATTTTTGAAAACCTTTGGATTGTGTTGGCTTCACCTCTAATTTGGAGAGTACGTAGATCCAAATGAGTTATATTTTTTTAACAATTTTTATTTTATTTTATTTATTGATTTATTTTTTGGTATTTGGGACCTTGTGCTTGCGAGGCAGGCGGCAGAACCACTGAGCTAAGTCCCCAGCCCTCCTTTAATAGTTTTTATAAAAGTAAAACTATCAAACTCACCTCCTAAGTTCATTCCAGCTTGAAGACATTTCTGAAGTCTGCAGGCTGGACAGTTCTTTCGTCGAATCTTATCAATGATGCAGTCATTTCTTCCAGCACATAAATAATTGTGTTGCCCTGATTTAAGAATAGAGACAATTGTTAAGATGGCTAGCACACTAGTAGAAAGCATTAATAAGTATAACGAGAATATCACACACCTACTTTCTGATCTGAAATCTCTTCTTTAAAACAGAAGAAACACTATTTATGGATAATATGGGCAAGCAGGTGGTCAACTCAACGAAGCTGAGAATTCAGTGTACTTATAAATAACAATACATTGATTTCCAAACACGTTCTTGTGTAAGAGTCACCTTCCCCCATTGTTTTAGTTTTACTGATAGCTGCGTGGATTCAGACAATAGTGCAAATATCTTTCTGATATCATAAAGGAAGTAATTCAAACAAGGGCCCTACTTCAGCGATGTAGGCTGCAGTGCCTACCCACTACTGATGCATGCGACTTTTAAGTCCAAGACTTGTTTACCTCTTTCATCCTGTAAATCCACCCACATGTATCAGATGTGGGCACAGCATAGAATTAGAGAGTGGAATCTACTGGCAAAATATGAAAGTGTAGCCCAGCTCTATTATTCATTTATTTATTCAAAATTACTTACTGGACATCTACTAGGTATGAGGTACTGGCAGAAACAAGATAGATCTAATAATGAGCATAGCTCTTGTTAACTTTCATTCAACGTAGTGGAGACAGACAACAGGCAAAATATAGAAAAGCTTAGACAGTAATTAAGTGCTGGAGAGAAAAATGAAGAGAAGGGGTGCATAGCTCAGCAGTTCCATCAAATTTTGAAACTTTAGTGTGCATGGGTAGAGATTCACAGGAAGGTGATTTTTAAATGAAAGTCTACAGGTCCTTCAATCTAACTGTGTAGTCATGGGGAGGGGACAGCAAATACAGCAGGGAGAGGGGAAGGCAAACGAGGTAGGGTATGGCAGGGATATTTAGCCTATTTCAGGAATAGTAAGGACACCAGCATGAATGAGCAGGGGAGAGTGAGTGGAGAATAGGGAGAGGCAGAGGTGCAGAGCTAACGCGGTGCAGATCACAGGGCCTTAAAGGGCACAGTCCAGATTTTGGCTGCTTCTGAGTGAGAGAGGAAGCTACTAGGCAAGAGGGCCTAGAGCAGAGAAGCCACTTGATGTGATGCCGACTAAATAGGATCACTCTGGCTACTGTGTTGAAGAGTGTGGTGGACTAGGGCTAGCAGCAGGGAGACTAGGGGCATGGGGTAATTATTATAATGTCGGGGAAAGATCAAAGTAGGTTGGGTCAGTGTGATGGTGGTGACATGTGGTAAGATCCTAGACATACTCAGAAGGTAGAACTGCCAGGATTTGCTGAAAGAGCAAAAATGGAACTGCCATTAGTTAAAATAGGGAAGACGTTAAGAACTTGTGGTTTGTGGGCAGTTACCCTAGATCAGTCTTGAACATAAGCTGATAAGGCTGTGATGCCCGATAGACATCCACGTGGAGATCTCAGCATCAGATGCTGGGCCTGGCGTGAGGAGATGTCTGGGCTAGAAACGCAATCAGCTTATGGTGTCTACGGTAAAGTTATGAGACCTGGTACGGTCACCTGGTAGGTGAGCATAGACTGCACAGAAAAGAGATCTGGGATCCGAGTCATGGATCATTGGAGATATGCAAATGAGAGAGGGAGACTGATGAGTGTAACACAGTAAAAAATTTAGGCTCTTCCCATCGGCCAAGTCTATCATGATCCCTTGTTTGAGAATTACTAATAGTAAAAGCAATGTGTATCAATTACTGTAATTAAAGTAACTTAAATTAGGGCACATTCTCTGTGGCATTACTGTAAATCTTAGTAATAATAACAACAATGAAACAACAGTAATAAAATAGGGAAATCTATTAAAGTGAAGAAACTAAACTCTATCATTATAATAACCTAATGTGTCTCTTAAAAAGTGAAGGTTCTTAATGAATATAGGCAGGTGTAGGTAATTACACTCAGGCAATCAATACCTATACAAAAAACAGTAAGTGATTAATGTAATATTTCATGATGTTGCATAAAGTATACACTTTTAAAGTAAAAATTTAAAGCCCAATTAGAGTATAATCTTATTTAAGCCTTAGAACAACTCTACAACATAGATGAGGCAATTATTGTTATTGTTATGGTATTGTTATTTTCGATTGTTCCCCAGAAGAGACTCATGCTAGAACTGATGAACTGACTTTTCAAAAAGGTAGAAATGGAAGCAGAATTCAGAAAGTCTGATAATACTGCTGTACCTTAGGGCCAAAAGGTTTTCCAAAGAGCAATTTGCGGTATAAATTACTGGTGGTCTAATAGGGCACTGAAAATACTCTTTGGAAATAACAAGCAATGGAACATTCTTTAAGTGAAGCACACTTACTTTACCAGGCAGAATTTCCATTGGTAACCAGCAGTATGTGCCTTCTGCATGGTATAAGACTGAATACCAAACTACAGATTTCATCTATAACTCACAATAAATGGAATAAACTTTAAAGTCAAAAGAAGTAATTGAATGTTATTTTAATTTATTTCAATTCACCACATATTTATGGGTAACCTATGTGTACAAGGCCACAAAGCATCTGTACGAAAGATTAGTCTGATGTAGTGTAAGGTTCTTTCCACTTCTGTCAATTAACAATATCCATATCCACATCTTTTAGGTTGCAGGAATAGAAGACTGTGTTTAAAAATGGTCCTTATGTTTGGTACATGCTGGGTGATTTTCTTCTCTGGGCATTCAAAATAGGGACTTGCAAAAACTGGGATTGTTTTGTAAGCATTGTTTTTATGATGAATATCCTTTGAAATCTGTATTACGGTAACAACTTTAGAATGATTTTCCTCCCAGTTCAGCATTTTCTCCTTTACATACAGGATACAGGAATTTTAAGAGATAACTAGACATGTCATAACATTTAAGAGAATTATATCATTCTTGTTTTTAGTTATATAAACATTAAAGATTTATGTAATGTTTGTCTCATCCCTTAATCCATATTAAAACAACAGAAACAATAGAAACAACAAAGTGAGATGCACCTGGCAGACTTAAAATTTTGATAATGACATTATGTTCTTTCTGTGTTAAGATAGCTAACCTAGAAGATGTCACAACTTGGGCTTTGTATGGTAATTTCCTAGGTGAGAACTAACATAGGGCAGGCAACCAAGATGCTTTGGACCACAGAGTTGGTGGGCTTGAATGACAGTCTAGGGAACCAGATGCCATTCATCCGGCATCGGAATGCCACTGTTGAGTCCTGCTAACAGAGCTCCAGGTCCAGAGCTGTGGTTTAGAAATATTAATCTTAAGGTTATTTTGTAGGTAGGCAGAACAGAAGTAGGGGATACTATGAACCATTCTCATGAAAGTTCTCAGTGACAGCCTCATCCAAGTTGGTAGGTGTACATAAATCAGAATATATAGGCACAGGAATATTCCTGGGTTAAAGAGAAATCTTAGTAGTCAAAGAAAGATTTATTTCTTATTCATGTTACATGTCCATTTTGAGGAGAATTCTACTCCTAGCAATGGCAGGATAGCTTAAAACAGATAAACCTCCCACATGTAACTATGAATTGTCTATTAAACATAGGTATGCTAGAGATACACAGACAGAAACACAGAGAAACACACACACACACACACAGAAAGAAGAGAGGAGAGAGGGAAAGGGAGAGAGCCAGTGCCAGAGCCAGACAAACAGAGATATTGATTTAGTGATTTGAAGGCAGAAACTGGAGGAAAATTAACTCTTGAAAAAAGAATCACCCTAGGTAAGATTTTGTGTTTGAGCCACTTTTCCCTGAAGGCTTCATATTCCAAATGGTGCAAGCAAAAAATTCAGTCTTAATTGTCTAAGAAAGCACAGAACAGAGTTTTGGACTGCCATGACAGATAGGCATATAATTCTAAAAGAGGGGTAGAGATGATAAATATACACATTAACTCCCTCTGAATTGTTGGGTGACTTCAGAAATGATCATAAGACTCTAAAGGTTTCAAGGGTAAAACAATAATTTAAGGCTGAAAAGATCTGTAGATATTTCAGCTGCTGCCAGTATTACCAGGGGACAGGGTTTGAATCCCATTAAATTAAGAAGACTCAATAAATGCCTCAGGCTTCCCACTGAAATTCCAGAAGGTCCTTGTTCTAGGAAGAAATACTATACCCCAGGATTGAGGCAAAATAGACCAATCTACAATAAGGAGGGGGAGAAGGAAAGCACTGACCATTAAAACTTAATATTCTAGAGAAATATAATAAAATCTGGAATATATGAACCAAAGTCAATAGAAAAATTAGTAAGCAGAAATATACCTAAAATAATCCAGTGTTTGGAATCATCACATAAAGATTTAAAAATTTATATGTTAGAATATACAAGAAAAGATGAATAAAGGCGGTAAAAAAATGGGGAGTTGTTAGTGTCGGAAAATGTAAAAGCAATGCAAAGAAACACAAAAACAAATGGAAATTGGATAACTGAAAATTACAGTATCTAAAATTAAAATGTTTACTGGTGAGAATTAACAATATACTAGACACTCAAGAATGGATCCATGAGGTTCAATAAATATAAATGAAAATCATCCAAACTGAAACACAAAGAAAAAAATTTAAAATAAAGGAGGCATCCTAATGTATCTGTGGGACACATTATCAATTTAATATATGTATAGTTAAGAGTTCCAGAGGGAGAAAAGAAAGAGAACAGGTCAGAAAAAATATATTAAAACTTCCAAATTTAATAAAAAACCCCAAAAGATGCATACAAAGAAAACTATGGAGGTACAGCATAGCAAAATTTCCGACACATAATACAAAACAAAAATTCTTAAAAACAGCCAGATGTGGTAAGGAGAATTATATTACTCAAAGAGGAACAGAGTAAGAGTTATATATTTGGATATACAACAAAGAAAGTTAAGAAATGAAAATGGTAAATATTTGGAAAAAATTTTAGAAATTTTCTATTTTAAATCGTTTAATGGTCAAATAATTGTGTCAAGCAAAAATAATGACAATACACTATT